CAGTTATCTCCTGCTAATTTCCCTCTGCCTTAACCGGGTATTGAACTCACAAAAGTTGCAATATGAGCTCTGGTAAAAACATGCAATGATAACAGCAAAATTGCAATATGAGCACTGGTAAAAATGGTTGCTGAAGACATTATGTTTATAATACACAGAAATTCTTACCCAATGACACATTGCACAGTGGATAAAGATGGGTTAGATCTTGTGACAGGACCCAAAGCGTGTGAGTTCAATACCCGGTTAAGGCAGTGGAGAACTTTCAGAGGGAAATTAACAGGAGATAACTGATAACTGCCATCCAAAACGCTGTGATAAATATGGCGACAAAGATGAGGACAATAGTCCGAATAATGTACATAGTACGTCATCTCAGAAATATAGACAGACTATGTGTCATTTTGTTTCTATTTTCCTTAAGACTTCCTCCTTATTCAAATTTTCAGTCGATAATATCATCAGCATCCTTCTTTAGAATCACATTTTTGTTGCTGCCAGTATCTTTCAGCCGTGGGAACACTGTCTAGCATTCTCTAAGCAGTTCAATAATGTTTTATTTTTTCCCTAACGAAATGTGGATATTTATTAATATTTTTCTTAGCCTTTGGAAGTCACCTTTCACGAAACCAATGCGTCTTCGTTTGTGTCACATTTTGCTGTCATCTCCTTAAACATTTCCCAGATATTTAATATAACCTAACATTGTATACGCATGCGCAATAATGTCTACAACAAGCTTCCTACCGCGCACCTATTTTGATAAGTAAGAAAGAACGAAAATGTCGCCTTTATGCAAACACGTATTGAAAACTATTGACAATCTACCATCTGGGTGCGTTCTATCCAGATGAATTTCAAAACAGAACTTTTACATCAAGGCCTCGTAGGTAGATGACGAGATACAATGTATTTATGAACAAAGGAAAAAGCGCTAAGTTACTATTTCTAATCTCTTATCTGGTAGTAAATAAAATAAGGAGACAGGATTTCAAGCGACATAGATTTAGTTCTATCAATGATGCTGAGAGTACTATATGTGACTAATGAAAAAATTTAAAGAACTGGATCCGAAAAGAAAGCGCTGTTGAACTTTCTAGATTATAAAACGAAACCTTTGTTGAAGAATTTAATACTCACAGGAAATTCTGAGTCTAGGGAGGATATACAGAGAATTATAGGAACGTATGGCACTGCAAGGAGAAATTGTTAATGTAAAATATCAAAGTTTAATTAGATCAACAAAAAAGAGCCATGATCGCTCACGTCTTGAGCGGTCATAGTCATAAATGAAAAATTCGAAAACTTTCCAAATAGAATTTGTACAGGATCCATTTTGTTTTTCTTGAAGGTGACTTTCCCGATTTTATCAATGGGTTTGTGGTAAAAATGGTTGTTTGTGGATTCGACTAAACATGATTTTTTTTTCCTCTTCTTTTCAATGATTGATTAAATTTTCCGAACTGATTTTGGTATTGATGTTCAAATGAATAATGTTAACAAGTCGTTAGAAGGAACTCACTGTCTTCAATTCGGGAATAGGTTGTATGGCATTGCTAAATCGTGTCGGTGTGCGCGCATGCGTGAGGTGTTGCGAAATGTGTCGGAAGACGGGCAGGGAGGTGTATTGTCGGGAGGAAGCGGGTATATTTGGTGAAAGATGTATTTCGGATTCAACCGGCCAATTAGTTGAGTCAACAAGAGGAAAAGAAGGAAGAGGAATGATGGAGAAATTATGGAGCGAAAATGAAGAAAAAAAAAGAAAAAAAAGAAGAAGAAATAACAATTTGTCATACAAAATTATTTTTCTTTAAATATATAAAAACTATACTATAAGACAAATCTGTAAACGTAATGAAAACATTACTTCTACATCAACTAATCTTTATAACTACCTGTTACTTCGCAAATTTCACGTCGGCTAGAAATTAAAATTATCCAATATATCACGTATCTGCTCTTCTCTCACCTTATATTATCTCCCTCGCTTCCTCCTAATCTTTATTATTATTGCTTACATGGTGGGGTAATGGATAGCGGCTCAGATTGAGCAATCGGAGAGCCGAGTTCGAATTCCATTCCGATCCGTTACATTCACTTACAAGCTAATACCCTTGGGAAAAGTATAAATCCTCTTCTTCCTCCAGCTATGAGAAAATAGCAGGACAGACCGGGTTGTATAGCCTTGGAGGGCAATTGGTCTAGCGCAGAAAGAAATTGTAATCTACTACGGGAAAAAAAATCTGCCTCGTCATCATGTATCGAAAGATACATGATCGTCTAAGCGTAAATCAGGCATGGCACATAACTGATCTCTCTTGAACTGTTTACACGTATGCACCTATCATTCAGTCTCCTGATATCTATCTATCGAATCCATTACATTCACTTATGTCCTAGTAGCCTTGGGAAAGGTATTTAGTGTATTTATTTATGATATTTCTCTGTGAACATTCATCTTGTGCGTCTGGCTTTTGTAGAAAATATTTATGTTATTTTTAACTGTTTGTTCACAATTGCTTTTATTTACTTCGGGAAGAAATAGTCTAATTTGGTGGTCTATAATGTGGTTAGGTAATCCATTGTTAACTTGTGTAAATATTGCATTATTTAGTTCTTTAAGGAAGAGTACTCAAGAGGATTAATTCTGATGTGCCCTTTTTATGTGTACATACATTCATATATATATATATATATATATATATATATATATATATATATATATATATATATATATATATATTAGAAAGTATGACAAACTGGAAAGTTTTTTTCATCGGAAATTTTGATTGAATTTTTTGATTCTAGCCGAAATCATCTATATTCTTTTGTCTTTATCTTTATACCAATTTGTTCCTGATCATCGCAGACTGATAATATATATATATATATATATATATATATATATATATATATATAGAGAGAGAGAGAGAGAGAGAGAGAGAGAGAGAGAAATAGTGGGAGAGAGATGTCTTGCGTTTAATTTTGAAACAAACTCGGAAATGACCTATATATATATATATATATATATATATATATATATATATATATACAAGGGTGGGTTGGAAAGTTCTAGACTGACTAAAATATTCTCATGAAATGTGACCAATTGAGATATATTTTTGAACACGTTCTCCCTAGCGGCCCACACAAGCCTTTCCTCAGTGTTACAGTGCTTGAATTTTGATGGTGAAGAAGCTTTAATCCTGTTTGTCAGAAGAAATCACAGCCAATTGCTTTTTTTCTGTTTAGAAACAGATGATACTGGGCCAAATCAGAAGTTGATCATCGAGTTCAATTCCACTCTCACGGACAACACCCATTGAAATCAAGGACTTGTGTACTGAAGCATTCTCCCAATCAAACGAAACTCCTTTAGTCAGATTTCCTGGGGTATTTTTATAATTTTTTTAACTGTCTCAGGAAGTTGGCATATTGATGGTGTAGACCTTTTGAACATAGTCGATAAACACAATATCTTCTGCATTCTGTAAAAACTGTGGCGATCACCATCCTTGCCGATGAAACGACATTGGCCTTCCTTGGAGCAGGTGAATAGAGGTGTTCCCACGGCATGTTTTTTCCCTTTGTGTCTGGCTCGAAATGATGAACTCAAAACATATCTTGGGTTATTAAACTTTCAAGGAAATCAGCTGGATCCGCTTCGAACAATGCCAGATTTTATCGTTCTCTGATCAACCTGGTGCGCTTTTGATCAGGTATCAGAAAAACCTTGCACCCACCGAGCAGAATCTTTTGTCAATCGCGTGACATCCATCGCAATGTCGTGGACACGATCGGGTGTGTCAGTGTTTAGGTCATTTCAAGACTCTACCTACACCCTCTTGAAATCAGCTGCTCTCTTAACACAATTGATAAAGTTAGAGCTACATCCCTTAATGCAACAACCATGTCACCCTGAATGTCATTGAAAATAAACCGTTTTTCTGCATGTATTTGATAAGTGAAAAATACAATTTTTCCAGTCCAATAGAAATCGCTACGAGTTACACTTAAAGAGCTATTTGAACAGTCAAATGTCAGCTTCTATATTTATTGATAAGAAAGTTTATTAATTTATGCAAGATTTCACTGCCTTAAAATAATTACTTCATAGTCATCCTATGAACATTTTACCCCACCATCGTATATATATATATATATATATATATATATATATATATAATTTTATATGATCAGTACTTATTTGACAGTGATCAATATCAGTGATAGAGTTAACATATTCAGTTGTATGGATATGTATTTGTAACTTTGGGTTTCACGCTTTTGAGATCATCAGACAAACTGGTCTGTTTTTTTTTCTTTTACAAATTGAATCTATTTTTGTTTGTTCATATTAGATTATGTTTGGTGGTGATTGGGATGACACTCTCATACACACAGATATACATACATACATATGTGTACACTTGTATGCATGAATGTCTGTGTGTGCCATCCCAAACGGACACAGGTTATATACATACATATATATATATATATATATATATATATATATATATATATATATATATATATATATATATATATATATATATGACTAAATTCAAGTGCCAAACCTGTCGGACTATTTTTTTATTGTATTTACTAATTTCCGAATAATATGGATTTATTCATGTAGTTTGACCGCCTAAGTTATCAAAAAACGGGTGTTATTAGTGTGTTAGACAAGATTGTGTTGCTTACATCCTTGCAGTTCATAAACGCTAGATTTGAAATTAATTTCGAGTGACGTAATGCGGTTGCACACACTGAATGAATGTATTAAAATTTTATATGTATTGCAAATTTGTACAAATATTTATACGATGTACACAGTTTTAGATACCATCGGCTGCGTTGAAATTTATTTTATATAACATCGGCTATTTCTTTGTATAATAATAGACATGAGTACAAGAAGAATCTGAAAGGGAAAATATTTAAAGAATCAGAGAAACAAATGGATTATAACAGAGGGAAATGAAAAAGTGAAAATTTTAGAAAAAGAATAAAAATTTTATATAAACTGAAAGACCTAATGAAAAAAGAAAGAGAAAAAAGAAAAAGGAACAAAGGAAAACCATTAAAAATGAAGAAATGAATAAAGGAAGAAAGAAAGATCGTATAGCGAAATGAATTGTCGCGAGGTGTAAGAAAGAGAAAGAGAAGGTAAGGAAAGACAAGGAAAAAATAAATAGGGAGAAATGCTGAAATGAGAGAAGAATCAAATATAAATAAAAAGCAATGAAGTAAGTAAAATGAATACACAGTTAAAAGAAAGAAAGAAAGAAAGAACGAAAATTAAAAGAAAGAAAGAAAGTATAAAGCAGAAATGATATCAGGAAGAAAGAAATAAACAATCCAGAGAGTAAAAAAAAGAATGTAAATAAAAATGACAAAGAGCCAAGAAGAAAGATAGAAAGAAATTAACCGGAAGATTAAAGAAAGAAAGAAAGAAAGAAAGAAAGAAAGAAAGAAAGAAAGAAAGAAAGAAAGAAAGAAAACAGAAAGAAAAAAAAAAGAGAAAATTATATCAAGAAGAAAAAAATAAACTTGCAGTTAAAAAAAGAAGTAAATAAAAATTACAAAAGAAATAAGTAAAGAAATTAACCGAATGATAAAAATAAATAAAAAATTCAAAAAGAAAGAAGGCGAAAATTATATCAGAAGGAAGAAATAAGTAATCCAGAGAGGTGAAAATTGTAAAAAAAAAAAAGAAAAAAAAAAAAAAAAAGAAAGAAAGAAAGAAAGTAAAAACGAAAGAAACTAGGAAGATAACAATATAAGGAGTAAACAAATAAATTTTCCAGGGAGATAACAATAAAAGAAAGAAAAAATTGACAAGAAGAGAAAAAAAAAAAAGAAAAAAATAAGAGAAAAAAAGAATGAATGAACAAGTGCAAGATGAGAAAATAAGTTCGAAAAAGTGGAATAATCGAAATACAGATAGAAATAAGAGCAAAATCATCAAAGACTGAAGATATGCAAATGCTTACAGCAAATAAGAACCACCTGAATAGTAAAGAAATGATAGGTAATTCCAACTGCAAATTGGTTTGTCGAGTTGATGACAAATCATTTGGTTCGTTGCGCATGTCGATTACGAGAGACACGAAGTCGTAGCCAATATAATAATACTCTTCTCTAAGAATAGTTACTCCGACTCGTTTGCAGAGGCAAATTGTATCTGCGGGATGTCGCCTGTATCACGTCCTCTATTATTTAAAATTTAAATTAAGCTAAGTCAAATCGGTACACTTGAGAAGACAAAACTTAGCAAGATTCAGAGTGTAGTATCTGTTCTACTCATCTGTAAATAGTAATATTAGACGTTCCTTTATAAGGAAACACTCAACATTCATTGACCGACCAAAAAGTCTTACTCGTCTAAGTCTCTAACCATCGGGCTGGGATCAAAATACTACTTGAGTTATATGCATAGGTACGGTGGATTAGTGGATAGCAGCTTGGATTGAGGAATCGGAGAGTCGAGTTCGAACTGGAATCGGATCTATTACATTCACTTACGTGCTAATACCCTTCGGAAGGGTATTAATCCTCTTCTTCTGCCCCCAGCTATGGGAAAATAGCAGGACAGATTGGCAACTGGTCTAGGGGGAAGACAACTCTGAATTCAAAACCTGTGGAGGGTTGTTTTGTGACTTTGCGGCACGTAGTGCACTATATTCTCTGTATTCGGCTCTTCAAAAAGCATGGTTGGTTCTTCACAAAGCCTTCACCATTATAATCAAATCATTTGTGCTGGGGTCTGGGCTGTCGGTTCCAAGGAACTGTGCTGCTTGACACTCCTACATCGAATACAACGGGAGAGTTGACCATATATACATATATATATTATAAATTAATTGATTTAAAATATGTTTTTTTTCGCTACACCGTTCTAACCATGTTTCAAAAATGGAAGCTAAATATCTATAAGAACACCGGATTATTTATCTTACTGTTCTTTCTTTATATATATATATATATATATATATATATATATATATATAGAGAGAGAGAGAGAGAGAGTGAGAGATAGATAGATAGATAGATAGATAGATAGATAGATAGATAGATAGATAGATAGATAGATTCACTTATGTGCTAATACTCTTGAGAAAGGAATGAATCATCTTCTCCCTCCAGCTATGTGTAAATAGCAGGACAGACTGGGCTATGTAGCCTTGTATGGCAACTGCTCTAGGAGAAGGACAACTCATAGAAGCTGGTGTCTGGGTTGTCGGTTCCAAGGAACTGAGCTGTTTGCCCCTCCTACGTCGAATATAACCGGAGAGTCCACCACTAAAGAAGAACTAAACATGATATCACGTGACATAGTGAAACGAGGAGAGTTTCACGTTGTAGATTAAATAAAGGGTTAATTTCAATATTCCCTGCTGGTTACCCGGATCGACAAGCAAGTGATGAATGCCAAATAGCGCAGCGGCTGAAACGTTGTGTTAATAAAAATAGATGCACATAACGGTTTGAATGTAAATTATTTCCATGCATACAATTGTCTTCACAGTTTTTAGTTATTAGCACAACCTTTCAGCTACTGTGCCCTCCGGCCTCCATTAGGGTAATCTTCTCATACCAGAAATTCAGACAGAAATGTTATTTCATTACCGGTAATAATTTTTAATGACAAAAATTCGAAATGTGCTTGGGATCGCTTCTTGATTGTGTGATATCTTATCTATTTTTTTTTTTTTTTGGCTCACGGCCATACAAGTTGAAACAACATACTATGAGCAAAGTTAAGCAGTGTCGAACCAGGTCAATATCTAGATTGGTTACCACTTGGGAATACCAGGTGCTGTAAGCTGGGATGCACGCGTGATTTAATTGATAATGGCTTGGAACTTTTAATCGGAGAGCAGAGATCAAATTGCAGTTGGGTTCGATATATTCACTTATGCAGAAATACCCTTTGGAAAAGTATGAATTCAACTCTTCTCAACCTAAATATGGGTTAGTTAGTAAGCCTTCTATCGCTAAACCATTGTTATATCCAAAGACATAAATTTTTACGATCTAAAATTAATTTCTGGCTGTAAATGGTTGATTAGCTGGAAAAAAATCAATCAAACAATCAATTTTCTGTTATGGGAATTTTCTAGTCGACCTATTTACTAGGAGGGAGAATGTCTAACAGAAAACCTAAAGCCACAGGTCATTAACTAGTTCATCGATCCTCGCTGGAGCATGGCATATGAACTGGGTGTTGTCAGTATGGCAGATAATGTGGACTAAATACTTGATAATGACTGAGACATTGGAAAATGGCGTTAACTAAACAGATAAAAACATGAATTACGAAAAAGAATGATCCATAATTTAAATCCCGAGACACAACAGGTTCGAAAATTAGAAAAAAAAAATAGAATAAACATTAGATAGCTTGACTTTGAATTAAACATAATTCGTTTGTAGGAATTATTGCTGCCTAAATGCGCACACAC